AAATAATATCTCAGCAGATTTCTGTTTTTCCCTGATTATAAGTTACAAATTTACAAAATTACAATTAAATTACCTAAAAATTTAAAGAACTTACTTAACTTTTTAGAGGAAAAGTAATTTAATTACTGTAACTATTTACTTTGTAACTAATTACACGCAACACTGAAGGAATCACAAAAGTAGCTAAATAAAGCATTATATTTTAGATGTTCTGAGCCTAGTATAACACAAATTAAGCCTTTTATAGTGAATAATGTTGCACATTAATTTTCTTTAAGGCTTTTTTCACCACTCTTAACTCAGAGTATTGTCATTCTAAACAGCTTGTTTTAAGCAGATGTGAAGTAATGAAGCGTTTTTGTTTGCATGTTGCATATTCACATGCTTTGTACACTCAATGAAAAACTTTCCATTGTATATAAAGTTATTTCAGAAGAGGAAAATGTCAAATTTTGACTGAAAAGATGTCCGCTGGAGTGAAGAGTTTCATTTGTACTTTTGATATACGCCTATTATAAATATAATGTTAATTATATTATTAATTAATTATAAATTAATTAATTAAATATAACAAATTATGTTTGTTGTTTGTTCAAACTACTTATTTAAAATTTGCTGAAACAACACTTGTTTTCTTAAGGTTTTATTGGGACAACTTAATTGTTTATGTTCAATTCATTAATATTTGTAAAAAGTAATAAATTAACTTAATCGCTTCACATTGTTCCAATACAAATCTACTGTGTAGAACCCAGCATTTTCATATCGGGGGCTTTTTTTCAGGTTATTCATGACAATTTGCTTTTGTATGTTATTATAATTAGTATTATTTATTATATGGATATTTATATTTGTTCTAATACAAACAAGTTTACACTTGTTCACCAGTCAGGTTTTGAAGATGTTTGCATCCCCATATGGGGCATAAGAATAGGCTGTGTGTTTGGATGTAACTTTTTGACCACACTTCGGTTTTATTGTTAATCTATTCATTTGCAGGAAAATAAAACTAAATTTAGAAATAGTTTTGAAACAAATCTTTGCACTTAACAAACTAAATTAAATATGTATGCTAATGGATGTCTTCAGTGTGTGCGTACAACACTGTTTCCATATCCATAAAAGCAAAGGAGTAAAGAGAAAGTAAAGAGGCCGAATGGAGGAGGCTCATTCTTTATCCTTGGGCTGCAGATGGTCTGTTTAACTGTTTTCTTGCTAGTGAAGCATTCAGTTCAGTACATGTCCGTGAACTGAAATCTATTGTGTAGAACCCAGCATTTTTTTTACAGTGCAAAGCATGGCAGTCCTTATGTAAACAAGTCACAAGCTACATTTGTCCAATCAATGACATCGACACCTCAAATATGAACATAAGCACAGTGATCAGAAATGTGTGAAAGGGTGTCAGCATGTGAGAAGCAGGATAACCCAGGTAAACCATTTTGTATGTAAAAAGAGCAGCTAGGACATTCTTCTAGGTATCTAATGTCATTTCCTTTGGATGAAAGAAAGATTTAAAATGCACTTTAGTCAGTAACCACTCCACAAAAAACTTTTCTTTCATTTACTGCTACTGACCTGCCTTTAGACATGAAGGAAGAGAAGAAACAAAAATAGCTTGTAAAAATCAATCCCTTATGGTGGAAAAAAAAAGCTTCTTGGAATTCTTTTGTGCCTGATCCATGAAGAATTCCAGTATGGGCCTGGTATGGTGGCCACACTGACATGAGCAGCTCATAAAGAAGAGGATGAACATGATGATGATGATGATGATAGGGAGGTCATCTTCTTCTCATGCCAAGATTCATATTGGTTAAAGATGACCGCGATGCTTAATGAATACTGACACATCACTTTGTTTCGAATGCTAGGCCAAGGAGACATCCTGCATTGTTAAGCAGGGAGAAAGAAGCCGCTGGAGAGATTCCTGGGAGCATATGGAAGAGTGATACGAGTTTTCACGCAGTACACAATCCCAGCTGTATATCCCCATGATACAGGAGTCTAATTCTGCCAAATGATTTACATCGAATGTCTGCGTGAAACCATTTCCTCTGTCTTGGCTTTCCAATATACACATTATACAGAATACATACATTGTATGCATAATCAAGCGAGCGGGGATGAGGGATTCGGCCTGACAGGGTTCAGCATACATTTTCCACTGTTTTTCTTGTAAATGTCTCCGAATCGAGAGCGAACGGATAAAGAATTTATTCATAAAATAAGTTCCCGGCCCCAGAGATTCAAAAACAAGCAGTCGGTGGACCCCGTGAGCAATCAAATACCAAATTAAAGAGAAACACTGACAAATCCATGAGAATGGAGAGGGAAAAAAAAAAGGTCACCGACCACAATGCTCACAGCTACCTCTAGTGGCCTGATGTGATAAAACAATACACTTACACAATCAATGCATTATTCAACACATCATTGTGAATCAAATCTCACAGAAAGTTTAGACAAGCAACTCCAAATGTATGGGCACAAGCTGTAAACTACTTTCTGCTTGTGATTGACGAGGTGTGGAATTCTGGAAAAAAAGAAGTCCGGATAATGACGTAAGGCGATTAACAGGTGTCAGGAACGGACTTTGAGCTGCACTGGAGAAATGAATGGCTTTCAGCAAACGGCCTATCCCCCCCCCCCCCCCCCCTTTCCCATCGGTCCACATGACCATGAACCCTTGGGCTACACCATTAAAAGGCACTGGCTCCCAAAACAGCTCTGTCCTGCACACGCACCAGTGAACCTCCAGGCCCTGATTGCTTCCACGTTGCTTGAGTAAACATCTGAGACGAATTAGGCCCTTGTTATTGTTGTTTAACTCCAACCACATCGTGCTGCTGCCGCGCTGCAGGAATAACAGTCTCACGATGCAATACACGACAAGTCAAAGATGGCGATGGGGGCCGCCGTGACACTTCATTACATATGTGTGGAGGAACCTGCCACAGGTCTGGTGCACACAGGTCCCATTATCTACATACCTACACCCCTCCCAGACTCCCCTTAACACCATCAGGCCCGTCTACAAAACATGTGCGTCTCCCAAGACTGCGGCTCTGTTCTTGTGGAACATGAGGCTCTTTCTTGAAATGTTGCTTTTAGATTAGCCATCTAGAGTTGTTTTGGACATGAAAACAGCACTGTGATATGGTCTGCTCAATAAGTGCTTTATTATAACCAAGTGAATATTAGTTTGTGTCAAAGGCCTATTGATAAAATGGACCAATGCTCAACGGTAGGTCAGAATTAATGATTTATTCACACTGTAAAAAATTTTTAAGTCAGTACAACAACAAAAAAAAAAAGAAAAAAAAAGAAAAAAAAAACATAATCTTTATTTCCTTTCACTTTTTCTTGTTTACTCAACTTTTGAAAACATCAGCTGCACTGACCTAAAATTATTTGTCAGCAATACAAAAAACATTTAGTATCATTTTTGGAACATTTAGTTGGGTTAACATAAGATTATTAGTTTTCTGGACAGGTGAACTACTCTGTAACAAAACTTTTTAAGTTGTGCCAACTGAACATTTTTTGTCTGCATAACTGGAAAGCCTGAAGTTGAATGAAAAAAAAATTCCTTTTGTTCTTTTCTCCTGTACTCAATATATATTTTTATTATAATTTTTTTCACCTCAAATTAACAGAACACTAGAGAGTACTCAGCTGCACTGAGTACAAAGACAAAGATCAAAACATGGCAGGACAAACAGGGAAAAATGTTTTGTAATGCTTCCCATGTGAAGCATGCCTTCCTGTTTTTTTAATTGAACAATGTTTGTTCGTTCTTATAATGTATTTTATCTTAGTTCCAATTTCCAAAAGAGTTTTTTGTTCACTCAACTTCAGACATTTTAGGTCGGTGCAACTGATGTTTTCAAAAGTTGAGTACACATCAGTGCCAATGGTGTAGTGGTTAGTGCGTTGACACATAGCACTCCAGTGTTCACAGCGAAGTTCAATTTCCACCTACAGGTCCTATGCCAATCCTTCGCCTCTCCCCATGCTTTTCTGTCTATACTCCCTACTGTCCTAAAAAATAAACGTGAAAAAAAAAAATTGGATAGACGAGGAAAAAAGACAAAGGAAATAAGAGTTATGTTTTTTTTTTGTTCACTCAACTCAACTTCATGTTTTTTTGTTCAGTTGGCACAAAGTGAAAAAGCTTTGTTACAGAGTAGCTCACCTCTCTAGAAAACAAATAATCTTATCCAAGTAACCCAACTTGATGTTTTTTGTATTACTGACAAAGAATTTTAGGTAAGTGCAGCTGATGTTTTCAACAGTTGAGTGAACAAGAAAAAGCGAAAGAAAATAAGGATTGTTTTTTTGTTGTACTGACTGAATTTTTTTTTTTTACAAAGCATATATGGGTAAATAAATTAGTCCTACTAGACTTTATGCCCAACTTAAATGAAAAGTTCACCCAAAAAGAAAAAATTCTCTCTTCTCTCTGTGTGTGACCATTTGATGATTTCCATTTACCTCCATATTATTTTTCTCCACTATGGAGTTCATTGGGGACTATCAACAATTGTGTTACTAATGGTCTTCAAAGCTATGCTTTTCAACAGCTTGAGGGGGAGTACATGGTGAACAAATCTTTATTTGGGGGGTGAACTTTAACTTTCTCTTTAAATGCAGTAAGCATACAAAAACGCTATAGACAAATTGTTATAAGAAAAGACTTAAGAAGGTATTTGCATGAAATAAAAAAACCTGGACCAGGTGGAGAGAACAAGCCATCCTTGGTGAAACATCAAGAGATTCTTCTTAACCCAAGCTCTCAATGCAATGACTACACTCTGTTCTTGTGGAACATGAGGCTCATTATTAAAATGTTGCTTTTAGATTAGCCATCTAAAGTTGTTTTGGTCATAAAACCAGCACTGTGATATGGTCTGCTTAAATGAGTGCTTTAATGTAACCAAGTACATTTTAGTTTGTGTCAAAGGCCTATTGAGAATAAGGACAAATGGTCAACAGTTGGTCAGAATTAATTATTTATTATTATATGCCTAAATAAATTAGTCCTATTACACTTTAAGCCCGACTTAAATGGATAGTTCACCCAAAAATTAAATTTCTGTCATCAGGACGAGTTTCCCTCTTCGATTGTGGCCAGCTGAGGATTTCCATTGACATCCACAGTATTTTTCCCTAAAATAGAAGTCAAGGGGGACAATTTTGTTACTAAAGGTCGTCAAACCAAAGGTTGGAAACAGCTTAAGGGTGTGTACATGGTGGAAATTTTTTTTTTGGGGGGGGGGGGGGGGGGGTGAACTTTCTCTTTAAATGCAATATGCATACAACACACTACAGACATCTTGTCATACAAAAAGACTTAAGAAGGTATTAGGATGAAATAAAAAACCTGGCCCAGGTGGAAAAAAAACATGCCATCCTTGGTGAAACATCAAGAGAATCTTCTTGACACAAGCTCTCAATGCAATACTTACAATGCTTTAGGAACTGTTGGTCATCTTTTGACCAAAATAAACATTTTTGGTTCCCTACCCAACATAAAAAGTCTCTCAGGTCTCTTATCCTCATTCGTCCCCAGCTGGCAGGTTCTCCTCAATCCTTTTGATGAACTTCATGCGAATTTCTGTCACATTGTCACCTCTTAACGTGTCCTGAGCGAATCGTACATCCACTGCCATCTGAACCTGCAGGAGTAGAAAATTGACCATACTAGTGTAACCGCTAATAGAAGGTTATCATAGAAACATATTCATCTCATGCAAACGTGCTCCTCACCATTTCAAGAGCTCCTCTTAGAACGCCACAGAGCAGGTTGGAGTAGACCAGATTACTGTGGTTGTCAGGAAGCTCTACAAAGTCTACCAACGGGTTGCTTTCGAGGATGAGGGAGAACTCGTCTCCTGCAGGACTCCAGTTGGTCACGCTGGGAGTGATACCCAAGTACATCTTGAAAGCTATCTGTTAATGTGAAGACAAAAGGCCCTTCAGTCCTCATGTTAAGTCGCTTGCCTACATCGATGATGTCAAGGCCACATTTAAGTGATTTTGCAGAGCTGCCACATTCTTTTTAGGTGCTGTATTCATGACTCTGAAAAAACTTAGGCACACTTGAGCAGTATATGGCTTTGAAGAAGTGCAAGTGCATTCCAAAGATCTCTGGCATTTTACATAAAGGATTTTACATGAACAGTTTATTGGGAATCTTAATTTACAACTTGTACTGTACATTGCACAATAAAAATAGATAAATGTAAAGACTATTTTAGATAATAGAATTAAATTCTTGAAAATGCGCAATGCCTGACAAAAATCTTGTCGTCTTCCCTGACAATCGTTACAGACCACAGGCACCTGCCTCGTGAAATGCAGAGCTTTTTTTTTCTTCCATTCAGCATGTCGTATCAACTTTCATTAAAATACCTCTTCCCGCAGTTCATAGTTGCATCTAATATCTTATTTGTCACGGGGGGCATGCCCGAATGAAAGTGAGAGTGCCAAACCGCAGTTAAAAATGACAAATTAATAATGAAACACCCGAAATGATATGAAACTTGGGAGGAAATGTGGATAGCGCAGTAACGCAATGACGGTAATCTAAGGATGTGCTATAACAACGAGATCATGAAATAAACATTTCAAAACCAACTCATGTAAACACCTTAGTCTTATTATTGTCTTAATTAGATTAAGGGAAATAATTCGATTACTGATGTCTATGTAAACGTAGTTACTGACACTAAAATAAAGCTACCAATTTTTTTCACAATAAACTTTAAATACTGTGTTTCTAACTACTGTACATCCTTGAAACGTAAGTTAAAAATCAACAACCTAAAAAATCCTTGACTTTAGGTAACCCTTGATTTTAAAAACCCTAAAAAAACTCACACCCTCTAAAATTATAATTATACAATTATTTTTAAATTAAAATTATAGTAAAAATATCTGACCCTAAATTAAGATTGGATGAGTCTGAAGCCATAAAACACATACACACACACCTGTGAGTGCACATCTCGCAGACATGGTGTTGGTCTGCAGCTGTAAACAACTAAACTAAACGTCACAATTTGTACCTCATTAAACTGTTGTTTAAAAAGTGTTTTAAGACCCTCAGGTTTAAAATTTTGATCATGGTCCCAGCAAACCAACGCGTTCTGGATTAACGCTCGACAACGTGGCACACGTGGAGGAAAGTGAGGAAAGAAAGACAGAGAAAACAGAAGAAGAGAGGAGAACAGACAGACAGAGAGCAACCAAGCATGGACAGGTGACGGACAGCGGGAAGAACGCTCTGTCAATCCTGTCAGTGTGAACCCTAAATGCTTAGGGTGAAGTGCAGTGTTTCGTAAAAAAAGCACAGTCTGTGGCTCTCGCAGACCAAAGAAAACAAGCCGAGAGGAACACGAGTGTCTCGGTTCACTCGAACGCTGCACAAACGGCCCGCCAGTTGGCTTTGCGGTAGCATAGCACGGATGTTTCTCAAGCTGTGTGACTCTGAAAAATTAAAAACGGTAGAAAGATGTGATGAAAGCTAAGAAGGTATGTGGGCTACTGCAGGTTGAAGTTCAAATTCCAGTCACTTGCTTGCGCATTAGCATGCTTGCCTGCTCAGAATGTGCTCCGATTGGCTCAAGTTACCTTTGCAATGACATCGGCTGTTTCTCGGAAATCGTGACACCTCCCCACGCTGGACCGAGCCAAGAAGTCCTCAATCAGACGCACTCCGATATTGTATCCCCTTGAAAGGACACAAGAAGAGAAAAGAATCTGTGAAACCGTTATTGTCAGAGAAGTTCACTTCACCCACCAAATGGAATCATAATCTCTTTTCACTTTGAAGGTCTCAGTAAAGCCCTTCAGTCTTTCAAGGACTTATAAAAAGCAAGATACATACTTGTTTGGTCAGAGAGAAAGAAGTCAAATCTTACTCCTGCTTCTATCATATTTGATGCTTTAAAGAAGCAGGAGGAGGAAAAAAAAAAAGATTGTATTTCAGACGGGTTGCCAAACCCAATATCAGTGGGACTACTGGATTAGTTCAAGGCACGGTTTAAATGAAAAGATCACTCAGCCAAAGAATACACACTGCCCACTGATTCTCCAAATCACAACCGTTGGGGCTCCAAGCATCCTTACTGCTTTTCCCACAATCTTTAAACTAGCGCCTTCCAACTGCTTTTGAGTCAGGGATGAGATTTAACATCAGACGTCATGTGGCAATCAAACGAACAACCAAAGTTTTATCAAAAATGTACTTAAATACTAAAGTAGATTAAAGTTAATTAAATATAATATATATATTTAAATTTCTTGTACCTGCTATTCAAGTTGACAGCATAATCTTAATATTCCTCTAAGTAACAGGAGGATTAGAAGTAGAGATCTGCGCGGGACAAATTCTTTAGTCCCACTCCCGCAAGGTTTTATTCCGCACCCAACCGCTCCTACCGTATATTCAGCTTTTGTTTACCCGCTGCCCAACCCGCCCCGTTTTCTACCCGACCTGACCACTGCTGCTAAATTTAGATCTGGTTTCTAAAATCTCACATTTAAATAGGGTACTACCAAAAGATAAAGATTGTAGGCTAAATGTCACTCTTGTTTGCCCCTTTGTGATGACTGCTGCCTTAAACCTGAGGTTCCAGTCTTGTAACTAATTTTAAAATTGAGGTATTATCACATCGCACAAAGGGTCATTTTTTTTCCCATTTGTATCTATGACGCATGAAAGACTCCCATACATCGGACTTGCCTGATGTGGGTTTTCTGACTGTTTTCAGATGCAAGCTTAAGGACAGCGCATCTTCACTTTGCTCTGCCATGGTAAAGACTACTGAAAGAAAACTGAACTTTTTTATTTAAAAAAAAAGCACGTGCAGAAACCACTGCTCAATGCGTTTATCATGAGTAACAGTTGTGAGCACTGGCTGTACCAGTGCTCAATAAAAATGAGGAAATCTCCGATATGCTGTTATTGAGTAATATTTGGCCTCAGGAGCGGTATATTGTTAAACCGCTCGATCCCATTCAAATTACACCAGAGTTACCAACAGCTACCGAGTTTTTTTCAGAAATTTATTCCCGGGCCACAAAAAATCTGGTCGAGAACAGCAATGGAAATGCAGACCTCTTATTAGAACAATTCAGTAGATATTGATTGGATTTAGGAATTTATTTTTATTATTACAGATTAATACGTTTATTTTAGGGATGGGAAGATTAACCGATATGTATCGATACGCGGTCATGCGCGTGCACAATGCGAGTGCATCGGTTGAGCAGCAGAGGATGAATGAAATTTTGGAAGCAAATCGAGATGCATCGGTTTTTGCGAGATGCATCGGTTTTTCCAAGATACAGCTTATATTTTTAATATAGAATGTATTTTTTATTTATTAGCAAGTGTTGTCAACCTGTTTTTGGCGCATAATTTAATCGACCTACATAAGGTAAGCCTTAGCAACGGATTTGCGGATGTGTACACTTACACTTCAACTCAGTGTATCAGGTGTGCGGATGAAGCGAGTGGTACGCCCTCAGAAAGCGCGAGAAGCAAAACAAACATTTTATTCCCCACTGAGATTTAAATCTAATGTATGGCAACATTATGGATTTAAGGATGGACGACTTGACAGGACAGATGCAATTTGCAAAATGTGCCGCGCATCTGTAAAATACGTGGGCAGTACGACTAATCTGAAATCTCACTTGAAGCGGCGCCTCGGTGTTGTTGTGGAAGCATCTTCCAGTGTTCCTGCATCCCCGGCTTTCGCACTGCTTCAACTGTAGCTACCAGCTCCAAAAGTGGTGAGAAAAGCATTCTCGCCAAAAAATCGTATCGTGTTGCATCGCAATATGTCACAAATGTATCGCTAATATATCGGATCGTATTCTTTGTATCGAGATGCGTATCGGATCGGCATTATAGCTTAGATGCCCAACCCTAGTTTATTTTGTTTTAACGTGATAAACTACTGTTTAAAAATTTGAGGTCAACTAACCAATCTATTCTTCTATTCAGTAATATCTAAGATTTTTTTTTACAGCAAAACTGTTTTTTGAATAATATGAAATGTTTCTTAGCATTAAATCAGTATATTAGAGAATATATACTCCCCCATATTATATATATATATATATATATATATATATATATATATATATATATATATATATATATATGTACAGAATTAATATAGTATTATAATAATTAATTTTTAAAATACCTTTCAGGTAAAATACCTTACAGTATTTTTGTTGAAATAAATGCAAAGAGACTGATAAAATAATGATAAGAGACTTTTCAAAAGCATATCAGATTCTTACAGACCATAATTTAAACATGGTTAATGCTATTTTATTATTTGAATCAAATCTGCACCCAACCAAAAGAAACACTGCAGTACATGAGAGGTAAACTTAAAATAGTAAGTTAATAGAGAGAGAAAAAAGATTATATGTATAAAAAGCAACACTCTCATCCATCTCTTTCATCTGGATCCACTCTAACAGTGGAATAGAATTTGACAAGTAGCCAAAAGTGGAACAGAATCATGCATTTGAAAAGAAGGGGTGTAACCTACAGCTGCACGACTCATTTACTGTAGCCGGGTATGGAGAAGAGAGACAGCGGCTCTCTAAAAACCTTAAGTGGCATATTATACACACTTAATACCACCCAACCCAATTTCAGGAGACTAGATGGCACAGGAGTAACCGGGCAGTTAACATAATTATTACACTAACAGCCTAGACCCAACACAAACATATGACAAAATGGCATTTACTCCATCTTTAAGCCATCTTAACACTAAAAAATAATGAAAACTGACTAGACAAATTAACAGTGAAAAGTTACACCACCTAAAATATAATCACTTTATTTTATTTTACTAAAAAGAGAGGACAACAGAAACACATGTGGACTACTGATTAATATTATTAAATAAAATAACTTCACTTATGTAAAACAACTAGCAGCCAAGGATTAGTTTGTGTATTAAAAAATAGACACACAACAAATTACATTTTACTTGAATAGTAAAGTTTAACAGCTCCTATCAAGTCATGTGTAAAAAAAACTTAAAAATGTAACTAATTAGAAAAAAATCCTAATTAACTGCTCCCTGTTAATATAAAAAAGCATATTAAAAAAATCACAAACATTATGTTGTTACATTAAAAACTGTAAAAAAAAATCCACACAATTCGTTCATGTTGTCCCGACACAAATTGATTAAATTCAATTAACAAATTTTAGTGGACTGAACATAAAGAAAGTAAGTTGTCCCCAAATAATCTCAAGAATGATGTTGTTTCAGCTCATTTTAAATAAGAGGATAGGCTCTGGTGTAAAAGTAAAAAAAAACTTTTCACAGTTTTAAAGTAAAACATATAAGTATGTTTGATTATATTTCTAAGCAATACAAGTAATGTACTAAAAATATTGTATTAGGATTATACTGTAAATGACTTGGGCAAACTATAAAATTCTTAAAGGCACTTATATGTTTGCCAGTTGACCGTCAGCAGAAATTCCTGATGATGAGAGGGCTAAATCAGAATGAAAGCAAGGGAAAGGCAGACTCACATTTTATCCAGTTGTTTGTTGACCTCTTCATCATTTTCATAGTCCTTACACAGCTGAGTGACCAGAGCTCCATATGTGAGAGTGAATAACTCTGAATTCTGTTCAGGAGAAAGACCAGCACAACAAGACTCACTAAATTCAGTTCATTTAACATAGAAATAAAAATACACAGAAAGCTAATAAATAAAAATAATAACCTGATTTATATAAAATAAAAAGATTTTTTTGAGTCAAGAGTACAATCATTCCTTGCCTTAATGAGAACACACAGTGCTCCGCATAACCAAGCACACCCCATTTTGAAAATAAATATTTTTATAATTTTTTCAGTGAATCTAGGTAATATATTTTGGTGCATTTGACCAAAAAGATTTATTAAATGTTTATTAAAATAATATTTTAGTCACCATACATCTTTAGAAATAGAAAGATAATACATTTAAATTTATGCAAAATATTGAACGAAAATACAAAATTAGATTTATTTGATTGTTATATATATGTTTTTATTATTTTTCTCTTGATTTTTAATCTTTTATATTTTTAATTAAAAAAAATTATCTAACATATAAATGTGGGCTACTAATTTTTGGACCGTTCTCGCAAGTTATTTTGTTAGATTTGCTACAGATTTGGTTTCAGCACTGACTAATGTAATGTATATGCACAAACATAATATTGTATAGCATTCTATAGAAAATATTAAAGGGTCACGAAACACCAAAACACATTTTTTGAGCTATTGACAGTCGTATATGTGTCCCACACTGCTAAAAACACTATTAGGACACCTATATTTCACTAAAAAGTGTAAATTGGTTGTTTTTGCGTTATTTCAAGCAAATTCGTACTTCCTGTTTGAAACGAATTTTTGAAGCTGCGTCACGGTCATGACATAATAGCGTGTATTCCAGCGTGCAGACTGGATGTCTGTGCCAGAGTGTGCCTTATTACGTCTTACAGTGTGATGCATTAATGCATGAGTAAGGCTTGGTTCAAACCAATCAGCGCGCTCTATTGTGCAACTTCATTAATATTCATTAGTGTCACCGTCTTTACACCACAGAGACGCCACGTTGTGTTGGCAAAACAAGCGTGAAGTGTTGCTTTTAAATTTTGCTGCAGTTAAGTTTCGTTTTCATTTTCTCTCTGTGAGAGCTCAGACTCACGTGTGGATTAACAGTGTACGCGACGCTCGACAACAATAACTTACGTGTCTAAGGGGGATTATTGTTTACCTGAGAGCTGTTCTCATCTGCAAACGCTGAGATCCGGATTCCGGATGTAGTCTTCTCTTCAGACGCGGCTCTAGTTGCTGGTGATTGACCTGTCTCTACAGATTTGGTAAGTGAGCGACCAGTGCTCTTTGTTTATTCAGTTTGTTCGTATCGAATTAAGTTAACTATTGCGCTGAGTGCAAACATGTTAGCACCGCATTTTGTGACCGGAATAACACACGAGGCTTTCTGACGTTACCTGCCGTGTGCATCTAAGTTTCCGGGAAATGCGGAGTTTTTTTTCTGTCATTCGCCGTGCGGTATCAAACATTGCATGAAAAATACACGCTTAGAGCAGATCCTCGAATCAAATATCTCGTTTGTCGCGAGGGGCATGAATGAATTCCCTGAATGAAAGAGTCAAACTGCAGTTAAAGTCCACCAGTTAATAATTTGGCAAATAATTCCACTACAGATGTCCATGTAGGTTAAACACCATCTCTTTCTCCTGTGTGTGTATTTTGACTGAAACTCGCGCGTGCCCAAATAGACACTCCCACACCCTCCCACTTTAGTTCCTCCGACACTCCCCCCTAAACAGAGCTGGACACCCCCACTTTTCTGACTTTTTCCAAAGTGGAGGTGTGAAAACACCCTGCTGAAACACGGGGGTTTCATGGCCCTTTAATTCAAATGACAGATTTGTGAGGGGTGTACTCATAAATGCTGTGTATGATTTAATATATAAATGTATGTCATAATTCACATAATTCATTTGTAATTCATTCATTCATTCATTTTCTTGTCGGCTTAGTCCCTTTATTAATCCGGGGTCACCACAGCGCAATGAACCGCCAACTTGTCCAGCAAGTTTTTTACGCAGCGGATGCCCTTCCAGCCACAACCCATCTCTGGGAAACATCCACACACACTCATACACTATGGACAATTTAGCCTACCCAATTCACCTGTACCGCATGTCTTTGGACTGTGGGGGAAACCGGAACACCCGGAGGAAACCCACGTGAAGGCAGGGAGAACATGCAAACTCCACACAGAAACGCCAACTGAGCTGAGGTTCGAATCAGCGACCCAGCGACCTTCTTGCCGTAAGGCGACAGCACTACCTACTGCGCCACTGCCTCGCTACAAAATAAATATGATTTAGGGATGGACAAAATCTAACATTGCGATTTTTATCTTTTTTTTTTCTGTGATGTAATTGGGACATGAATATAATATCACCAGATGATTTGAATAGGTCTGTTTGAAAAGATTTCCTTAGTTTATGATCAAGTGGGATGATCTTTTTTTTCTATGTAGTGCATCTGCGTAAATTATAATAAATTACAAGCAAAATAAAGAAATGAATGCTTTATGGTTTTCTTGGCCGTCTAACAGTATTCAAGGACAGAAATTGAACCATTAAATGTGGAATAACATGGTCATCATTGTATAAATAAGCAAAAAAAAATATATATTAATATCTATTTTTATTACTATTGTATTATCTTTCAATGTGGCTATTGCGCATAGACACATTGTGATATCGATGGTCAAAACATATTTTGATTAGCCCTAATACGATTCTACAAAAACGCTCAAATAATCTATTGTTATTAAATTTATTATTATTATTAATATTAATAAAAATATTATTGTTGTTTCAGGTTCATGATTCAGTTTTATTTTTTGCTGGATGGGTTGGCGATTCATTCTGCTGTGGCAACCCCGGATTAATAAAGGGACTAAGCCGACAAGAAAATGAATGAATGAATAAATCATTTTTATGTGTGTAATACTGTATAATATAATAACTGCAATGAATAAATGAACAAATCTTTGAGTGTGGTCAGGAAATATAATAGCTTTTGTGATCCTCAATAAAGAAGATCTACAATAGAACTCAGTCTGTACTGTAGCATTGAAACTTCAGTTCATACTTAGATGATCTGAATCAATGAGCACACAGTGGTCACAAGCGCCCTCTCATGGCACAACATGGAGTTGTTACAAACACATCTACATAATAGGAAACCTAAACATTTATAATAAAAAAACTTGTATGACAGAGCTGGACAAACCTACGTGCGTCTTTTTTTTGCTTACATAAATACCTTTTTAACAGAATAAAGCAGCATAATAATAACAGCTCTGTGCTGTATAGTTATTGCTAAAATAAACCAAAAAAATGCACGAAACATCATGCCATTAAAGCATACATCACTCACTACAACGAATTTATCATTCATTTAATCCCACAAAACCATTATTTTAAAGGGTTACATGCATTCCCTCACCGTTTTTAATTCAAAAAGAGCTGATTAATTACAGAAAGACGTGTCCTTTGTGGAACACGAGCAATAAAATAACTAACATTTATATATACACACACAACACAACAGTATCTTTATTTTAATGTAATAATACAAACACTGCTCAAATAAGAAGGTTATTTATCCGACAATAATAGCATGTTAGCTAGCAGCCTTGGGTTTATGTAGTAACTGAAACAACACGATACACACTCACCATCTTCTTGCTGTCCGTGGCTCTGTTTGACTGCCTAGACATGTTGTCTAATATTACAGGTGTGGAACAGATCAGTTACAGGTAATATTTTATTAATCTGCTCAGTGCAAAGATAGTCCCGTGATGTTGTTTCTGTCACTGACGGAGGAGTCACTTCCTCAATAACTGCCGACTAACCGGAAGTCTTGCCACGCTTTGGTTTGTGGGTGTTGTAGTCAAGGATTCTGTGAGTATTTTTGTATGTATTTTTATATTGCTTTTTATCAGCACTGCACGGCATAACATCAGTACGTATCTATAATTATGAATGTGTAATTCATCTGTAACAAGACTAGGCCAACTCTTTGTTTCAGCGCCATTGCAGATCTTTCTTGGACTGTGTTACTTGTTGTTTTTATAAAGTATGGCGTATATACTGTAATAATACTAATACTGTAGGCTTTGTGATAAAAGAAGCATGTTTAAATTTAACAGTACTTATAAAAGAGTCGAAATCCCACTCATAGTTAAGGAATATGATATTATTTTTGGAGCCATCATCCATTTTGGGAGTGCTTTGTTTATGAAGGGATTTAATAACCTATTTTCTCAGATTTGTGCAAGATCTCAATGTTTTTTTTTAAACATATTCTGGCAAATTACCACAAAGTCAAATAACAAGAGTCTCTGTGTTTTGATCCAGTTGCAGTAATGTCCTAATGCAATGATTTTAGTTTTATTGGAACAGACATATAGGCAACAATAAATGAGATCTAGTCAGGAGCTGATTCAACCAATAAGCGAGCCCGCTTAGAGCCCCAGGAAATCAGGGATCCCCCAATAAATATCTAGAAGTGTAATTTACACCTATAAACTAGTAGTTTTCTACCGTATTTTGTATGGTGAGAGTTAAAGGTATTTTGAAATACAATTTTAATGTAATTAAATATTATTTAATATACAATTGAATATAATGTTATTATAATATTGTAGTGGTATGTAATAGTAATAATATTACCTAATAAAATATCCATAGGGGAACAGTCCAGCAGTCAATTAAAAAAAATTATATTTAATTTGTAAATTCATTTTAAGAAAACCAAAATCCCCTAAATCACTAAATCCGCCCCTGAGTTTAGTGTAGACTAAAATAAATAAAAGGTGTCTTTTAAATGGGTACATTAATACGATTTATTTTTTAACTGATGTAAACAGCTTCTTCTGTCGTCTAAAAAAAAAATGTCTGTCTCATTTGTATTGTGAGTATCACAAAGTATCTCTGGGGGGAAAAATGCTTTTGGGTTTTGTTTTGTGGTGTAACTCCTCTTTGAAATTAGAAAATTCTATTTTAGGATGTTCACATTACGAGCAAAAAGGTTTTAATAAACAGTTTACACAACTGTATATGTACAAATATACATAGAACATATGAAATCCAAGTCTCTAAATAATGTCTATACAGTGCTCTGCATATATGAGTACAACCCCCCATAAATCTCTCATTTGAATTAATATTTTCCATAGGATGCTTTACAATATTATATTTGTGCATTTACATTACATAAGTCAGTGCTGAAGCCAAACATGGAGCTAACCTAACAAAATAACTTACAATAATGGTTCAAAAATTAGTAGGCCAAATTTTGATTTTAGGGAAAAATGCATTCATTCATTCATTCATTCATTCATTCATTCATTCATTCATTCATTCATTCATTTTCTTTTTGGCTTAGTCCCTTTGTTAGGGAAAATTGATAAATGAAATTTTAAAAAATAGCTAAAAAATAAAGAGAAACAAAAACATATATTCAATTTTGTTGAAATGTAGTTTGTAATTATTTTAGCAATATTTTGCTTGAATTTAAACGCATTATCTTTCCATTTCTACAGATGTTCTGTGACTAAAATATTATTTGTATAAATATATAATGGTTTAATAAATCTGTTTTGTTCAAATGCACCAGTATATATCACCCATATTCACTGAGAAATGGATAAAAACATTCATTTTTAAAATGGGGCATATTCATATGCTGAACACTGTACATAATTCACATATTTTCAAAAGGTAAAATATTTTCTTTCTATACCTGGCATTTGATAAAGGTCTACGGTACTGTCATTCTGCATATTGTTCAAAATCATAAAAAAAGATTTCATTTTGCATATTCAAAAAGAATAAAAAATACAATAGATTTATTGTTCCATGACATCATGAGAGAGGACAACACAGCTGTAAAGTTCTTATTTGAGTCGTTTCTTGCATCTAAGTATACACAAGCACAAGCAGTGTAGTTCTAATTCATTCTCACTAAAATAGTTTTAACTAATTTGACCTTTTAGAACTATTATTATTGTATTATTATATTCTGTAGTCTTTGGTTATGGACTGCCGAGTCTGAAAATGCAAAACCGAAAGCCTTTAGTGTAAATTCTTTTTCAAAAGGAAATTTGAAGAGCTCATTTTGTGCCAAATAAATGTGAGGATTGCTCAGATAAAGCCTTCAACATAATAATACATACATACAATAGATATGCCTTTATAATATAATATAATATAATATAATATAATATAATATAATATAATATAATATAATATAATATAATATAATATAATATAATATTTATAAATATCTAATGATTGAAGTGCAAAATGTGATTTGAAATGTATTTTTATTGTACAAAATAGCCCCAAATTTTATTTATTTAATTAGTCCCTTTATTAATCCGGGGTCGCGACAGCTATAATATAATGTATTATAACATAAAATAATATAATTTGAACCCCAAAGTGATTCATATTTATTTTTTTATAATAAAATCATTCCCATATAATTTATTTTCTGGAGATACTAATAATATTGTAATTTAATAACATTTTTTTTCTTCTAATTTTTCGGCAAAATGCACTATGAATGTAGCAATTTTGTTTAGATTTGTGTTCAAAAGAAAATTTTAAGAACTCATTTTGTGGATAAAAAATAACATGTGGATTGATCAGAAAAAACTTTAGCCTTCCATATAATAAAATACATATAATATATATGCCTATATATCTATTGAGTGAAGTGCAAAATGTGATTTGAAATGTATTCTTATAGTGCAAAATAGCCCCATATGATTTAATTTAGTCTTGTGAAAATTAATATAATATAATATAATATAATATAATATAATATGATGTAATTTGAACCCCAAAGTGATTGACATTTATTGTTTATATTAAAATATTCCCATATGATCTCCTCTGTGGATGCTAATAATATTGCAATTTAATAACTTATTTTTTTCTAATTCTACGGCAAAATGCACTATGCTTCGATTTTGTTTCGATTTTTATCAACAGGCCTTTCATAAAATGAGAACTGCATCTCTAAAACAATAAAACATTAGCAATTTCAGCTCAGTATTCTCATGTCCTTGTTATCACAGAACGGGGCATTTCCTTCTTCTACCACTAGATGGCGGTGCAATGACATGTAAGTTTACAGTCTATACGTGTAACGAGGAGGCATTTTAAACTCGCGTGATAGTGGTGTTATCATGAATTCATTACACATGTGCTCATATGTATAATCTTATAGATATGTCATATTTTATATAATGTTTGTAGATACATAATCTGCAATCATACAGACCATAGACCTCACTTATATAGCATGCGATAACATTAAATTTTTTCCTTCTCAAAAATACTTTAGGGTGTACTTCAGTCCAAAGTTTAAGCTTTATTCAGTGTTTTTATGTAGTTTTATATGTATAAAAACATCCTATTATTGTACCCTCAAAGATATTTAGCCTTGAAATGATCAAAAATGTGATTTATCTCCATGGATTTCATTAAAAACCCAAATTAATTGTATTGCAGCCAGAATCCATGGCACATTTTCAACATCTCAAAATGTTATCTTGTAGTGCATCAGAACTATATTATCAGCAGTGTTCATATCCTCCAGGAAGAGATGCGTAATATTTCCTTAAAACGATTATTTGTAGAGCTCCTCAAAAAACGGAGATTTGGACAACAACACTTAATGTCACGCTGAGCTGAGTCAGTTGATCTCGCTCGAGGAGGAAAATTCAGTTTCTGCCTGTTCAATAGCAGCTGTCTCATTTTCTCTCCCAATGTTTTCTTTCTCACGCTGTTCAGACTGGAAATGATGGATAAGCTCCTCAGAACAGACTCGGAATAACTTAATGCACTCAGAGCAAACACTAGAGTAAATACCAGTAAAATGATATTAGTAAGTACTAGTGTGTGCACCCACTCGTGTTGCAGATGTATCACAAAACATCCCAGCAGGCACACAACATCCTTCATTCATTTATTTTCTTTTTGGCTTAGTCCCTTTATTAATCTGGGGTCACTACAACGGAATGAACCGCCAACTTATCCAGCATATTTTTTACGTAGGGGATGTCTTTCAAGCTGCAACCCATCATTGGGAAACTCCCAAATACTTCCACTCACACTCATACACTATGACCAATTTAGAGTATCAAATTCACCTATACCACATCTTTGGACTTGTGGGGGAAACCGGAGCACCCAGAGGAAGCAAACTCCACACAACATCATATAACATTAATATTAGATTAGATTTAGGTCCGGACGTCAGGTGACCAAAATTCAGTTTCTAGCCAGCGTCTGAGTACGAAGTTATTTTGGCGTCAAAAAACGAATTACGTTGATATTTGGCTGCTATTAGATTGTGTTGGAAAGTGACCAAAATCCAACGTCTGATAGATGTCATAGTGGTAACTTCAACACAATGTCAAGGTGTAACATGATTAGACGTTGATATTTGGTTGATTTTTGGTTTGACATTTTCGTCGGCCTGACGTTGAGTTTTGACGTCAACATTATTTTCATTTCCAAACAAAATTCAATGTTCCCACGACGTTGAGATACGTTGGGGTATAACGTCAATATGATGTTATGTTTTTTTTCAAGCAGATCTAAAATGAAACTAAACAGAAATCTAATAAAATAAATATATTTTACATAAGTTTAACAATAATTTGTCACAAAAAATCTTGTCAGACATATTTATTACAATAACGACTTCATGGAATAAAGAAACTTTTTTAAAGATACAATTGCAGCCCCAAAAGCAAAATATTTGTGAGTTTTTATATTTTTGCTTTGCCTTTTTCCTTACAATTA